TTTTCAGTTAAGTTCCGGGTTCTACCCCTTGATAGCCAACTGAAACCTTTGGATACCAGTACGGTAAGTTGATTAAAAAGATTTAGTAAGTATTCTGTCAGCTAAATATAAGATACTGTGTGTAGTTTTTATTGACATTAAAATATTAATAAACCTTAATTTTTAGAACGAAAATAAAAATGATAAAGTAACAATAAAGTAAAAAGCAGAAAAAATTCAGCATGTTATTGACATTTCCTAACAAGTAACGAAGGCATAATGGAATGGAAAATTATAATTTAATAGAGGTTTTTTCCAGATAAACAGTTGTACTTTCTTATATTTTTAACTCTAGAAGTTTCACTTATCTTGAAGATTTGAGTGTGAATTCTTTTACTGTCAATTTTGAATCGTAATGCTAGAAACTTAATTATATTTCAACATTTCGCAAATATTTCACTGTCTTAAGAAAACAGCGTGATTATATTTTTTATTGCAACAACGCTTATTTTTAGCTCGCAGTTCTTTCCAATGCTTCCATAGCAGCTTTTTCAACGTAATCGTAGAATAAATATACGTTCACAGACACTGAACTTAGTATAACGCGAAAACATTATGCTAGCCTTTAAAATAATATGAGGAAGGAAAGCATATAACACAAAACTTTATTTATTGTAAACAGCATAGTTGGAAAAAGCATGATTAAACTTGTTGGCAATTTGGCGGTATATAGGGTCCAAAAAAAAAAAAAAAATTAGTATAATAAGTTATCGTCTCTGGCAGCTACAAGAGCACTAAACCAGTTAGGTTGCAACCTTTTCGAACTGGGTTTGATGCGTCGTACGGGCGAATTTAGCCCATTTTGAACTGGGTTTGGGTGATAAATACTGCTTCGATCCCTGCTGATTTAAGTTTATGTCCAACTTTATCAATCGTAATGGTTAAAGAGCCGTGGTAGATCAGTCTGTAAGTAATTTATAACCAAATGACCTAAATGGTTGAGATATCTGGTAATGTACTGACTAAAGCAACAGTCAAAACCCCTCTATGTCGATGTAGATCAGACACAGGGCAATATGTTGTATTATGCTAACTTGTTGAACAAGGGTGTTTTCGAGGCCGAGAAGATAATACAGCGCCACAAACCTTGGGATAAGAAAAGTGTAACACTTGTTCAAATTACCGACGATGTGAACAAAAGAGTTCGTTTTATGCCCCAATGGCTAACCATGCCAACATATTCCACGTGCAGAACCCTTTTGATAAGCAGGTCAAGTACGTTCTCTTCGGAGCCTCCAGATACGGATACAATCTACATGATGTTGCACACAGAACCGTGATTCGAAAACAGGACTTATACTGCCAATTTTCTCTTCTGTTGTGTCGCTGAGCGCACCACTGTCAATGCACGCCTCTGTGCTGCAATGTCAAAAGAAGCTGTAATATGATTTGGTGTATATGCTGTTTCAGACCTCATCACTGTGTCCATGTGGATACTAGTAATACTATAAACAAACTTATTTCCCGACTCAAAGTTCATAATGTAGCTGTATGATCTTTCAAGGCCGAAATGACATCATCCCTATCCTCTGGAGCGTTAATGGCAGGCTGTTGAGATCCAGCTTGGTATTCAGTATGACCTCCCTGAACCCATCAATTCCCTATTCACATGCAGTCGTTGAACTCTGAAACATGCGCGGAGCAATATCGCAGAATAATAAGCCACATTTTTAATAGACCACGATCCTGCCAATTTTGAATTTTAATACGTGATAGTAACCATTTTTCCTTCTTATGCGAAGCATAACTCAATCTTCCCATGAACAACCAACATTCAAATGCAATTTCCAATGGAAGAACCCGCTGCGTAACTTTCCTTTTTCAGAGCTTGAGATGCCATTTCTCCATCGTGAGTCGATTGTGCTTGAATGCTAATTATTTGCATATTCCAGCATTTTTTTTCTTTTCATGCGAATTTGAAATTTGTATCATCCATTCATGCTGTTGCTATTTTAATGATTACTGAGCTATACAAATAAATAAAGTGATGTCTGGTATGCAAATAATTTAAGTTTGGTGCAAATACACATGATCATATATGCGCCAGTGCCACTGTGATCAATAAATTTAAACCATCTAAATTGACGCTTAGTGGATTATTCAGGAATATGAAGATCACATACTGAAGCTACAAAGGAGTACTACGCGAGTCGAATTTCAGGTAGATGTAGAAAAAAAATTTCGTAATTTATTGCATTTTATCAAGCTTGAATGGACCCTCATCATTAATTTGAAGGTTTCGAGTAGTCGACTTGCTGTGTTCCTCGCTGAGTCATTTATTTTGAATGTGCCATCAGAAGATGAAGAGAACATTATACAAGCAATGATACCCATATACGGCGTAACAAGTCTGGAGCGTCGACGTTGTGAAATGATTTAAGTCCAGTAGAGCCTACACAAGAGTAGGGTTCCGTGCATAGTACAAGGGGTTGGGGCTCAAATTTTTCCCATACACCAAGAGACTTTTTATTTTTGGCATAAAAATTACACCTCGACAAACCACACCAAAGTTTTTTCTCTCTCTTGTGCGTTTTAGATGTAAACATATCCCATAAAAACAGTCTGTATACACCACTGTCCAAGTCCGCGTTCAACAGGGGTTGCCCAAGACTTTTTACCTCAAGTTCATGTTCCATGCCCTTCACTCTCTATGATATTTCTCTTTTTTGGGTATATCTGGTATCAACCGAAATATCGCTTATCTCTGTGACACTCTATGTGGTGTTTAGGAGGGGTGTTTTAATATTTGTGAGCTGGCTGTCTGTGAACAATATTAGATGTCTAATCAATTCAATGCTAAATCGTGTTGAAAATATCACAGTCCGAAGTGATCCGTGGAGATATTAAAGATGGCAGGATATATCAATCTTTAACTATCCAATTGACTTGCCTTTTAGATCAAGTATATCTTTAATCTCTATCATTATCTGTATTAAAATATTATTTCATATCCAATGTGCTTCCTCCTTTATTTATTTTTTTTTGGCATGGTTTTTTTTCAATACCCATGAGAGTAATATAAGTTGTGATCATTCGTTCAACTACGAAACGTTGCTTCTTCAAAATTATGCATTTGCCAATTTTACAAAATCTGAAATATTTCAGAATCTTGCCGAAGTAATTAAGAATTCCTGTTTCAGGTAGCTGATGTTTGGATTGAAGATCCCTCAGGTATCAGAGTTGCCCAATGGAAGCAGATTAAGTTCGACGAAGGTAAGAGTTTTTTTTACCAAGATTTAAAAGTCATTTTTTTACTTTTAAAAAATATATATATTTCTCCATTTGGCATATTCTTTCTTAAACACTCAATGTATTTCAATATATTCATCAAAAGTTTTCTTTAATATTTGGATAGATTAAAAATTGCAGCAGAAATTGATGATTTGGTGATATTGTCCTTCATGTATTCGTAGTACAGTTATCAATTCTGGATATATATGACGTTCACTGTTCGCTGCTTTTTAATTTGTCTAAAATCCATTATTTGCGTTTTTCATATATTTTACAATGTTACCCAGCTCTTTGCGATATCATTTATAAGAGATATATTTTTCTCATTCATTCTACTAATTGATATATATCCTTCCTATTGTGTTAAGTCGGCATTTTCAACCTTCAATGATTTTCGATTATCTATTAGTTTACGATTTTGTACATGATAATAAATGAATGTTCCGTAAAAATTCAAAATCATAATTTCCAACCCCAAGTCCGACAGTACATCCCTTTTTTCATCGCAATTTATTAATGTAGAGAACAAAACGCTGTATGTTAAAAATGGAGATAAAAATAGCATTAGTGAAAAATATTTTCTTAAAGAATGTGCGAAAATAATAAGAAAAATTTTGATGAATAGCATAATGGAGAGTTCAGAATGAACCTGCAAATACTTTGCTTTATTCACATCTTGTTTGGGCCAAGGTAGTCGAGTGATAATGGCAGCGAACTATCGTGAGTTCAAGTCTGGGGGCCATTGAAGACTTTTCGTATAGACAAGGTGTGTACCGGCTCAGTAGGTTTAACATGATGATACATGTTAACTTACTGATACATGTTAAATCTGTCTAATCTATTGAGCCTCAAAATTCTCATGTTGGTGTAGTGTAGAAGCTTGCAGAGTGGGGTGACAACTCAGATGACAAACTCGTGGCCCGACCGAGGCCCAAAATTGTGAAGTAACTCACCAACAACTCTAGAGTAGCTTCAGAGAGCGACATTAATACATAATCAAGCGCATCTCGTTTTTTAATTTCGTTGAAATATTCACGGGATATGTTTTCACATTTATCATTTTTACATAAAGATTATTATTTTTCCCTATATTATTCCCTATATTCCCTATATTAAGCTCACCATAGTTTCATTTGATCACCTTCGATCTTTTTTTTTTCGTTGATTGCAGTAAATTCGATTTCTATCAAATAATTGTAAATACTGAAAAAAATAGTGTATAACGCGCACCTTATACTTTCAAGCCACATTTTTTAATTTTAGGTATGTTTGCCGTATAACTCGTACCCTCTTTTTTAGGAAGGAGCATGAAATGCCCGTGTGCAATGCTCTTATGCTTTGAAGTCATTTATTCGAGGTACTTTTCCAAGCTTTAGAAGAAATATGTGATACACTTTTAAAATTAAAATTTTTTAAATTCACAAGGAATGTCATTTTTTTTTTTAAAAAAAAAGAGGAAATTTCGATATATGAAGAAGTCTAATTTTTTTTTAATGCTCACCTTTTATTTTTAAAACTCTCATTTTTTTATGTTGTTGCTGTCGTGTGTTTTTATCATGGGATACACATATGAAATACAAGGGAAAAACAGAAAGCATGCATTACGAACAGAATAATATAGACATTTATTATAAATGATGATCCCAGCATATAACAAGAAGGGGTGAGCTGCTTTCCATTCGAAACAGGCGAAAGAGTCCGACTTCTTTTTCCCAAAGAAAATACAACCATGCCTCACTCGGGATTTGAACCCGAAAACCCATTCGGTTACAAGCCGAGGGTCATAGCCACCATACTGGCCGCGCGTGGCCTCTCATTTTTATACCTGGCGTATAACGCGCACCCGTAAATTTCGGTGTTATTTTTTGAGTTAAAAGTGCGCATTAGCCGAAATTTATGGTATATATTTTCATTGTCTACAATAGAGACATCTAAATTAAAATGTAACGTATTCAAAATTAAATGAAACTTATATACAAAAGTAAAACTTGAGCAAAAGACAAGTGTCTGTATCTTGATGGGGGGGGGGTGGGGGGGGGGGGGGGGGGGGGGGGGGGAGGGGGGG